AATGAAAGAAATTATGTATCTTAAAGAAGATTTTGAAGAACAAATTCCATACATGAGAGTTTCAAAATTATTACATTGATTCTCCAATAACAATAAATGTTTAGTTCACCATATTCATGGTGAAACTAGATGAAATACAATGAAAGAGTGAAAAGATAGAACCCTAGAAAGTGAGAAAGGAGCCTTAGCATCCAAAATCCTCCTCCAAGGGGTGAAATAGTGTGTTTCTGCTTCGTCCCAGCCAAAGATACTTGACCTAGGTTAACTAAAACCTTATATAATATTCTAAAAATTACATAAAAGTGAGCCCAAGCCCATCAGAATGCCGCTCAAAGGGAAAAAATCCGCTCAGGGGTAAGTGCGTGACTTCTATACTTGCGGCTTCTTCCTTTTTTGCACTTTTTCTTCCTTTTATGAATCCAACTCTTAGCTCCTTCACTTCTTTCACTCAATTCATCTCAAAAACTTGCAAAATAAGGAAATCAAGCATAAAACCTGTCCAACTATCTTATTTCCAAAAACATAAGCAAAAACATGATTCCAAGCTAGTTTCTAAGTCATAAAGGTTGTTTTTTATATCAATTTTAAGTATAAAAATATCAGTTTTTCAACTGTTATCAATAAACATGATCAAAGAGAATGGTCCTTTTAAACAGCGCTATGATCAACAGATCTAGAGAATGGAAAGGAACATGAGAAAAATCAACATCAAATATCTAAACAGTTGTGGAATTGATGTTGTCATCTTATTTAAAGGTCAAGAAAATGTTCATATATTCACAAAATCAAAATCAAATATCTCCTAAGGTTTTCCATTTCTCGAGTACTACTTCAATGATGACACCTAAAACCCTACATAACTTTTCTCTCTTCATGATCACAATTATCATCAACCATCCACGTCTAATGTAACAAAAATATCTCTCTTTCACTTTCTTTTACATCTATTTATTAATCTTTTACTGCTTTTATTACAAAATATATATATATAAATGAAATAATATATGAAAGAACTGAAAAATCTTATTTTTGTTACTTAGTACTATAGTCAATGAATTTGGCAAGGCTTTCAAAATGGGAAAAGGGAAAAGGGAAAAGGCATCCTCTGATGTCCTAAGTTTACCCTGATCATGACCTACACAGTAATTAGTAATATTTATTCTTTTCTCCTTTTCCAACATTTATTCCACCAAACAAACCTTTTGCAACATCAATCTTTATCTCTTTTCACACTCACAGCTTGTACTTGTCAATTCATTTATAAGAAAACAAAATAAAAAATAATTACATCACAAATACCATTTAAATTGAAACTGAATACAAATAATACGTTTTTCCTAGATAAAGATATGAAGAGTCAATGAAACTGAAGCCAAGGGTGTGAACTTTGCATTTAAAAAATTATCAACTAAAGAATGGCTGAGAAAACTATTGACATGCAAAGTTTAATCCACCATTCATTCTAATAAACAGACTTGTAATTAGTGTTGAGACAAGTAAAGAATTTAGCATATTTGTGTTAGGCGATTTCGGCAAGCGTACCAAATCGTTCAAGTAATAAACCGTGGTAAGACCAGGTATCGTTTTCCCAAGAGACTTGTAATACTAGAAAATTGTGCGATTAACAACTCATCTAGACTCAAGAACAACTCATCATTTAAGAATATGTGCAAAAAGATAAATTCACAAGTAATTACAAGGTTGGACTTTGGTATTGAAGGCACTTGGAAATGGAAAAGACTAGAAATGGTATGAAATGACATTGTTAAGGTTAGTTTTCACCAATGCACTCTTGTGTATAACCAATTTCATCTCCTCTCTATCAATTTACTAAAGTCAATCCACTAAAACACTCTAGCCCTAATCCCTTAGGTGAAAGAGCCTAGGTTTTCCTTATCAAACTCCAATCCCTTGGACAATCTAACAAGCAAACCCGCATTAAAGAGTTAGGATCTTAAGACAACATGTGAATCATCTTCCATCCCTAGAATCAATGACCACAAGGACTCTTGTTTCAGTTCAAGGTTTCATCGTACGTCCCCAAAACCCATGAAACCCCAAAATCAAGTCATGAACGTCCCCATTACATGCAAGCTTTAAGATTGGAAACAAGAATACTAGCAATTGATAGAAAAGGCATATATATATATATTGAAATCATTCAACAATTACACAAGATTCAAAGGCTACAACTAACCCCAACAAGATGGGTTTGGCTCTCCATTTCCATGGAGAGCCTTTAAGCTTACAAAATGGCCATGGAAGAAGATGAAGAACCTAAGAGGAAGAAGGGAGTGTTCCCACGAGCCCTAGCAGCCCTCCAAGCTCTCCTCTGAGTGAGATGCTCCTCCAAAGAACCAAAAACCCCAAATGCTTCGAGACAACTTGAATAAATAGGCATTTTGACACATCAGCAGCGTCACCGCTCAGCTGCACCCCAGCTGCACCCCAACGACAGCATTCCAGAGAGCTGGCGCTCAGCTGCACAAAAACTGTACCGCTCAGCTACAAAGTCTGGTCGTGTGGCGCTCAGCTGCACAGAAACGGTGCCGCTCAGCCACAACATTCCAAAATTCTCTCTTTTTGTTTTACTTGCTTTTGTGACTGGTTAAGCTCTATATATTGGTGGAGGTTCTTCTAAGCATAATATTAGCTACAAAATACGGGGATTAGTGATGATAATACATAAATATAGCCTAAAACACATTTATTTAGAAAACAAGACAAAAGAAGAGGATTAAACAAGTTACAAGTTAGAAAGGAGTTGATTTTGCTACTAAAATGATGCTTAGATAATGGTAAGAATTAGCATTATCAATTTGAAACGCATAAAACAGAATACCGAAACATATATTCCACCCATTTACCTACCTTTAAATTGAAATCAGATATTCGAGAAGTACCAATGTCGTTTGATAAAGCTGATTTGAAGTCTTCAAACGTCCAGGTTGAGACTAAGGTGATCTGAGATACTCTAAGAATGGAGAAAATTGTGTTTTGTGAGTTGCCACATGTCCTCCCATTATTGGAGAGGATTTGTGGACACTTGTTCACTCCTTATAAAGCCTTATTTTTTGCCAATGAGAGCAAAGATAGGAGATCATGCTTTTAGGGTTAGAATGAGACACCCTTGACCTAAAAGTTGAGGTGTTTCCACCCTTATATTTCATCTTAGATTAATGTAATGTTATGCTGTCAAATTATGACCATACACTTCTTAGATCAAGACTAGAGCAACCCAGAGGCCTCTCTTGTCACCTTCCTCCTTGAGTTGGCCTCACCTCTCTTGAAGCCATCAAACAACACCTCACCATTACCATAAACACCAAAATCGTGAGCATATCACCTTATGTAACCTTGGACCTTTTTCCCACTCCATTTCCGCACTCATCATCCAAGGAAACACTATCTTCATGCACATCTCTTAATTTTGACCCAACCTAACTAAGGAGGTAGCTATCACAATATTAATTTTTTTTATACAATAACTCACCCAATTTGTCTTTTCTTCAAAAGAACCGCACATGTGACAAACCTTGTGGATTATCGATTGGGCAACATATACCATTACCACACGCTCTGTCTCTAGTTTTTGTGTGTTCTTAGGTATATATTAAGTTGCTAGGAAATCAAAGAAACAAATTATTTTTCCCACATCTTCTTCTTAGGCTTAATACCACGCCTTGGCTTCCTTAACACGTGAGCAGCAATGAATTTAGTATTTGTTCTAGGGTATGCACTTTTCCATTCCAACTCCCTACTCCATTTCTTGTGACAATAATTCAGCCATTCAAAATCTTAAGAACCATACCTTCCATGAAAGAAAAAAGCATATAGAGATTGATTGTCACATTATCAAACAAAAGTTATTAATGGTCTAATACATCTCTTTCATGTTCCTTTTACAAGCCATCCCTTCTGCCTTCCAAACTACTACTTCAAAGTTAGGCTTCATAATCTTCATACTCATCTTAAGAGAGAGTGATGGAAATATCCTTGATGTCTCCTTTTTCGTTCTATTAGTTTTATTAATTGTATTATATTATGATTGATATTGATATCTTGATCTTTTCTCTCCTTTTTTTATATTGATAAAGATGTCTTTAATAGATTAAGTTGCTTGGTTTTTCTCTTTACATTCAAGCATATATCACCTCAATAAAATAACTCTGTTATGATACTTTTAACAAAAGATTTCTTTGCGAGTTTTCCCTCACCTTCATTTTATCATACACACTCACTAAGGAATCAATGAACTTGAAGCAAGAATTAAGTAAACACAAATGTGGTTAACTACTTACAACATTGGTTCAAGTTCCAACCAATGGATGGGACTATGCTGTCTAATGACTCTCTTGATTAAAATGTTCAACATTCATTAGGACAATGTTTCATACCTTTTGGGTCTTTCTTTTCTCATAAATAACCGGAGATTAGCATAAACAAACTAGAATGTAACTCATGTTAATCAATTTATTATATACGATATATCCATTTAAAACAAAAACAAATATAAAGATTCCTTTCCATCAATTTAGGGGGAGCTTAGTCAATGTTAAGTGAAGTATTAGTTGAGACAACTTAAAAAAACTCGTCAGATAACATGTGAATTATAATAATCTAATAATAAATAAAAGTAGTGCATAGCGTATTCTACTTACAAAAGTAGTTCAAACTAGACTTCGTCCAATTTAAAGTAAAAACAATTAATTAATGAAGTTACGTTAAAATAGCAGAAAAAAATTGTAAGATAATAATAAAAATATTAAAACACGAATACTACATTATCTTAAATACATAAAGACTCGCTTCAAAAAAAATTAGACCGAATTTCAGTAAGATTCAAAATCAAGTCTAAAAAAATTAGTGTTTGGTTTCCTGTCAAATCTAATCAAATGTAGATTATGAACACGACTTTTTCACGTCCAATATGTGAATAGAGTTCAAACGTTTGACCAAACATGAATTCAATCATTAAAGTTTTGTTTATTACGCTGGAATTGAGCCAGCACCCCTTGTCTTGCAAACTCAGCGAATAAGGCATGCACACTGATTTTTCCAATTCACATTACTACAAACATCACAGAAGATGTGAAAATTAAACGCTGCATGCCGTCAAATTACGTTTACACAAATTACGCATAAACAGTGAATATCTGCATGCATAATTATTTTCCCAAACAAAAGGATACACCACACTGCCATTCTCATATCCATTTTAATTTGGGGAGAGAATTATGCATTACCAAAACATGCTTGTTTTGAAGATTCTGCCAGAACGTGCTTAACAACCATCTTCACTCATAAGAAAGCCTTTGATTTGTTCTAGCGCCTGAGAAATACATAGGCACAATAAGTATCAATGATGCAAAATGTAGAAACAATTTTTGCTCTGGGAAATGTTAGTTAGCCCGAGCAAACTAAAATGAAGTTCAGAAGACGGAACAGAAGTGGAAGACCTCCATTGCAATAGCAGTTGGAGATAAATCTGACACATCTCTTTGACCCAGTTTTGCTACCATATCTGTACAAAAGAACATAACTTAATAAAGCAATATGAATTTCCATGCTTTAGCATTTGACAATCTTTAAAGACTAATACCCAGAACTCAAGACCAAAAAAGTTTAGTTGCAGAAGTCAAAAGAGTTTATAAATAGCATTTCCTTTCCATGTTGTATTCACAAGGATTCTGGAAAGAATCACTATTCTTAATTTCATTTTTGAAAAATGGAATAACCATTGCAGACATACTTTCCAAGGAGACCCGAGCGTTGGCATTTGCATACGCTTCACTTCTTTCTTCAAAAAGGGCAGACAAACGCATGAAAGTCTGCAGGTGAATTCCAGATGTAAAACACTAAATTATTTAGTGGGAAAAAAATAGTTGATTCTATTACCCTACTTAGATCGTTGTCATGGAAGAGGAATCATTTACCTTTGTGTATGCATCTCCCGATTCATAGTTTAGAAGTGGGCGAGAATCAGTTCCTACGGCTGTTATTCTCTGAGCCAATGCCTCTACAGGTACATCCAACCAAACACTAATTCCTTGGTGCATATATTTCCTGGCAATCCATATATAAGCATGTGTGAAGCTAAATTGAGAAGAGTTAATGCACAATAGGAGGTAAAACTTTGCTAATTGGTATGTTAATTATTATACCAATTGATGGGCCTCACAACAGCACCTCCACCGGTAGAAATAACATTTCTATGCATCATTGACAGCTTCCGCAATATCTCAGTCTATAACGGTTAAATAAGCAAGGAGAATGAACAGTTAATGAGATAGTTGAACCTGGAGGAAAAACAGAGGAATTCAAAGCACTCCTAAATGTTCTTTTTGTGAGTCAGAAGAATAGTAATTGAGAGATTCATCTGAGATTTGTTCCCACATGTATTCATTAGATAGTAAGCCAACCACTTTAGCTAACACAATATTCAGTGAGCCTAACCATTAGTTATTTAACAGATTAACCAAAATTTAACTTTAGGTTGATATCAGTCAAACTGTTAGAGAAACGATCATGAACTTAGTGATCAAACTAACTGTAGAACTAGAGCAAATACATATGTCTCTCATAGGATTGTTGTTAGGTTTCAACTTCAACACCATTTAAAAGCTTTTGTGGCTAGGGTTGATAACTCATATTGCTAGAGGGCCTGGAGGGGTATGCCACAAAGGGGAGGAGAAGGGGTGCATGGATAGATGAGGTGGGTGTGACTTAAACACGGAGAGGAGTGAGGTAAAATAGGGGAAATTGTGATATGGAAGGGATGAACAGAACTCATTCAGTATACTACATGAGAGGAGTTCCTCTGGGGGTTAAGCTTAGGTTTGAAGTGTTTCTTCTTCCAAGAATCAAGTGCTCATTCTTTCTTTCCATCACTTTACTTGAATAATACAGTACAATATATCACTGTCTTAAAAGGCTTAACGCAGGATTCATGCCCCTGACAGTTTATATTTAATTTCTCTAACACCAAACCGAACTAATTTTATTTTCCAAATTCCAAATTTGCAAGTGTAAATATGTATTATATAAGGAGAGGAGTTAGTATCTGGGATAGGTATTCCATCAAATTAACTGAAAGTGGCTATTCTGTTCATTAATTGGTACTTTAGAATAACTATGATTTCCTTGTTGCAACTTACTTTATAAAGGTGCACGTGCTGTACAGATTAAATTTGGATAGAAGAAAAATGAGTGGATTGCATAGGAAAGAAGAAATAGGAAAGCCTAACACTTCCAAAACCTTAACTAAAGTCCTCTATATACTAAAGAGTGAGGAACACGTAATCTGGAAATATTGTGTTCTTTAACTGACCTCCTTAGTACGAAAAAATGTCTCTCCATAGTGCTTGAATATATCAGCTACAGATGTTCCATCAACCTCCTCCTCCACCAATGCATCACTGTTCTCATAAATGCCAAAAAAGAGATCGTAGAACATGTCCAGTTGAAATTTAATTTATGCTAAAGTCAGATGACATCAATCTGTTATTCAAATGTTCTATGCTTCAGTTACCTTCAATACTGTATTTTTCATTTTGAAAAGAAGAAAGGAGGAGCATTTAACACGCTAACCTATCAAAAAACGCATAAGAAAGCGCTTGTGACAATATCTTCCCCACAGTTGTCTTCCCAGATCCCATCATTCCTGCATCTCAAATTCAAAATATTTTGTACTTGCAATGTAATTAAGCACAAATACTTCTGCAAGAGACTGACCAACAAGATATATACAGCGCCCATTTAAATATGGCTCGATCTCTTGTGATTTACTCTGCAATTTTACGGATTCGAGTCAGATAATGACCAGATGTACTATCACTTAAGATTGCAACATCAGTACACTAAAAGGCCTCAAATCAATCGAAAGTGACGAAGGGTATCGTGCTATATACCTTCAAAATAAATTTTTCATCAACAGGAGCATGAAATGTTTCAGATTCCAATGTCCTCGCTACAGGAGTAAAATTTGAAAATTTATGTTAGCACTGGCAACACTTGTTCATAACATCTACAAACCTGATATAGGTCAAACACATGCCTTCCCTTAAATATCAGCTGAGATGTAATCAGTAGTAAGTAATTCAAATTTTGATTTGCAAAATGACCAGTCCAAATTATAGAATTCCTTTCTGTAGTCAGTCACACTAAATATCAAAGAGCAAGAGTGCAATCCTCGTTTGAAACACTAATGTATTAATTAATTTTGATTTGTACAAATTGACATTATCATTATACTATTTTGACAGTGACTGGCACGAATAACATACAAAACAGATATACACGTAAGTTTGAAGGCTAAAGGCAGAAAGAAAAAATGGCATTCGTACAAATAGTCAAAGTGTGAATGGTTTCCACAACAACCTGGAATATTGTTATGCGAACATGCAACCACCAAAGATTTTGTCCTTCGCAGTATCTTTGTTGAAGGTCTTGGTGGGTGAAACGTTGACGAAACAAAAAGCTGTTTCTTAAATCCACCAAACCTTCTGAGAGAGTCATTTGGCCCTGTTCTCTCAGGCTTCGTGGAACGCTTCATTGTTGAAAACTGAAAGGCTTGAACCGCTTTAGCTTCCATGGCGCTTCAGCGTGAAACTGTGGAATTCATGAGTAAACTAGACAGTGATTGTACAATAAAAAAATGGTGTCGGCCGACTCGAATAATGAAGAGCCACTTTTTGTATTGGCAACTATGGCACACTCACACTTTAATAAAATTCATGTCTCCATGATTCAAAGTGGACCAAACAAATTTTGGAGCAAGACGACAAAAATTAGTGATAAAATACGTAAGTGAACCTCGAACCAATGGTTGGTAATTAAATACACATGAATTACAGATTAGATATCATAGTAATAATTCGTCTTGTTCTTATAACCTTCATAAATATTTACCAGATAAATGAGCTTATTCACTTTAAAGGTGGATGTAACCAAGGTTATTCATATGTTATTTGAATTTAAGCAATAGTTTCGATTAAAATTTCAAGTTTTTTTTTTTTTTTTTTGGGGGGTGGGATTGGAACTTGGTCACTGAGATCTGAACTTTTTTGTTGGAATTGAAGATAAGGGAGAGACTTTAATTTTAAATCATAAAAATAAATTTAATTTTTAATAAATTAAAGTAATAAAAAATTGAATGAATTTATTTAAATATAGCTAATATATTTAAAGAGAGTCAAAAGAATATATAGAAAAACGAGATTAAGTGAATAGAAAATTTTGGTGTAAAACTTATGTATTGAGTTCTTGATTTTTCTCTTTTACTTCTTATTTCATTGATAATACATGGTCCTTATATATTTGATATAGTTATTCGACAACAACAGTGTGTTTGCAATTCAATATAATTTTAATAGATTTTAAATTTTGTAGTTGTTTATTGATTTTCTCATCTATTAGGATACATTTTACAAAGAAGAGGGACTTTGATGACTTGATATCTTGCCTTATTTATATAGGATTTAGAGTTTAAAATTTATATAGCGAGTAAAGGACAAATAGAAGAGTAAGGATTTAAATATTTTAATAAAATATAATTTTCAAACATAAACGCTAGATAGAAAAAGTACAAGATTTAGTTATATTTATTTAAACATTAATCTTTATCAAATCATGTCCAAGATTATACGTGAGATTCATATTTTTCTATTTATTCCAAATAAATTCATTTTAGGTATTATTATAAAATTTGACATCTGATTTATATTAATATTTAAAAAAATTTATTGGTCATTTGTTATCATATGAAAAATAACTAAAATAAAAAATAAAAATATATAAATTATGGAGGACTACATCAAACCATGATTAAAAAAATACACTTAATCAAACATAGGATAACTATATCTATTTCAAAAAAAATGTTAAATTAGATCTTTCGTTTCAATTTTTAGAAAAATTTCAAACAGATCCATTTAGTTTGATGTATCTCAATTTCATTCTTATTTTAGAAAATTTGACGCAATCAAGTCCTTTATATTAGTATTATATTAATAATATAAGTATCACGTGTTTGTTCGTTCATTTTTTAATTTTTTTATTATCTTTTGTTTATTTTTTTTAATTCTTTTCTAAAAGCAAATAATTATCATGTGTTAAAGCTGACATTTGTTTTTAGTCTCAATTTGGAATGTTATTTTTACTTTATTTCAATTTAGTTACATTTTTTTAAATTGAGCATTTTTATCTCTTTTCACATTAAAATCAAATTTAATTTTTATATAAATATTTATATTAAAATTGATATTTTTATTAAATATTTTTTACAAAATTAAGTTTATTTAAATTTATATTTTACATTAAATTTTATTTAAAATTGTTTTAAAATTGTTAATAAAAATAATTATAATAGAAAAAGTTAAAAATTAATTTTAACTAACAAATATGTTAAATTTTTTTATCAATTACATTTCATAAAATCAAATAATTTTATCAACTTTTTCAATTCTTTTAAAATTTATATTTTTTGTAAACTTTATGTGTATTGATATTTCATTACATTATACTTTTATATTAATTTCTTATTTGAATTTATATTTTAAATAATTGTAAATTTTAAAAATGTGTAAAGTTGTAACATCCCAAAATATATAGTATAAACTATATTAAAGAGAAGTTACATGCATGATAAAGTAATACAGTTATTCATCTAAAGTATAAAGTGTTACCTTTATAGTCATCCAAAAACAACTATAAATTTAAACTTTATATATACATACTAAAGAATACTCCAAAACTATACACAAACGTCTACTAAACTAAGCCAACTACTCAACAATATCACCTCCATCCAAAGCTTGCTCCAGAGAAACTTCTTCTTCCGCTACTCACATCCAAAGGATGATCATTGTAGAAGAAGAACATCAGAACATACAAAATACAAGCACACAACAGGGTAAGCTAGTTTAAACAAAGATTAATCATACATCAATTTATTTAACTTCATACAATCATACTATTCATTCACATCACATAAACTCTTCACACATAACACCACACTAACTTTGACTGTTCGGACTTAGAATGATTGTCGAGCTATGACGGGTCGTGCACTCGTGGTGGCTTCTACTGCTTTGCCAAGCCATTGCCAATGGGTTTCACCTTACCGCACTCACGAGGTTAGTCCGTTATCACTCACCTTGGGCCATACTGGAAGCACCCAAGACTAGGATTTTCTGCTACTCCTCACGACATGGATCAATCCTCTCTACTTGAGAATGAAAGACCATTGGAGTTTCAGGATAACCCCTAAAACCTAAGCTCCTGCATTCATTCTAAACTTACTTGAATCTTAACTAGAGATTTCACTTTGAATCACAACATAGGGCACCACCATGTCTCCTCTCCTTGAGGATCATGGAATTATGTCCATTAACCATACTTTGAACTTTACACTTTGAAACCACCAACTTACACTTTGAAATACAACATACATCAATAACAAATGATATTACATTATACAACTTCAACTTACTTCATACAGCACTCAATGTTTCATTTAGAACAACTTAAGATCAAAAGAAAAGTGAACTAGAACTAAGACTCTCGCACAATGCACACATTCGCATAGCGAAACTAGAGGCTTCTCGCACAGCGACCTATCTCGCTGTGCGAATCCTCAAACAGAGACCACACCCTCTAAACCATTCGCATAGCGGTTATACTCGCTATGCAAATAAACCATGACTTGAATCAGACCCTAGACCCCTCGCATAGTGTCCCAGCTCGTTATGCGAGAACCTCAGACAGTGGCTCATGCTCCTTAAGCACTCGCAGAGCAAAACTCATTCCCTTTTCGAATAAAAAGAATAATAGTCCCAGACCCCAACCAGTAGCATAACGACTTGATTCGTTATGCGGATCGACAAACAGAGAGCAACCCTCTAAATCCATTCGCACAGCTCATCTATTCGTTGTGCGAATGCCTTGGCAGAGAGCACCTCGCCAAGGTGACTCGCTATGCGAATCTATTCGCACAGCGAGTCTGCATAATTTGCATAATTGAAATTCTGCAGAATTGTGCAACTCAACCACAACTTACCAATTCTACTCAATTTTCCCAAATTCTAACACTCCTAAATCGTTGTACAAATTTAATTAAACTTGACTAAGTGATTCTAAACCTTCCTAACATCAATCTAAAGTGTTTATGCATCAAATCCTACTCTAAAACCTCAATTTCATCAACTTAGAGACCCAAATTCCCATTTACCACTTTGATGACTCAAACAAGTCACATATGACTTATCTAAATTGCCCCAGCAGACCATAAAATCACTTGACCTCAAATGCTCAAATTCACTACCTCACTTTCTCTAAATTACACTAAACAAGCTCAAATCACTTCACTTTCTATCTAAACCCTACCACAACAAGTTTCTCACATAAAATACCTCCAACCAGTTAAATCACCACTGATAAATTCATCCAACTCAATTCATAACATCACAATACAGTTTCATACATTAAACATTCCAGTACATACTATTCAATCTACTCAGCATACAAACAGTGTCCCAAAACAGCATATTAATTCAGAATTTATCATACACACTGATAACACTCTAGATTTGCATATTTTTCTAGGTTAAAAATCTTTTCTTAGAATTTTTTTCTTTTTAATTGTTTAGAATTAGATTAGTTTTAGGTTTTTCTGTTAAATCTTTAGAGTTGTAGAATTTTAGTTAAAAATAAGTTGTTATTTATAATTTTTAGTGTTTGTTAATAAGTAGAAAATTCATATTTTTTAGAAAATCTTTTGGTAAAAATTCTTTTCTTTGATTTTCTTTCCTTTCTTTAATTTTGATTTTTTTTTCTTTGTTGGATTGGTGCAGATTCGGCCTTGCAATGCTGGTGCTGCACTGTTGCCACTAGGAGAATTGGGCCTCAACTTTGAACTGACTGAAACGTTGTTTGGTCCGCTGCAATGAATTGAAATTTGTTGTTGTGCTGGGAGATTGGGTCACCACTACTTCAAGTGTTGGACTTGGGCTGCATTAAGTTGGACAACGCCGTTTTGGTGCGTCTTGGCAGCAGCTGCCATAGGGGTCTCTTCCCCTCATTCTCTTTTGCAAAGTTGCTCGAGCCATTCACCTTGAGGAAAAACAAACACCCACGAGCTAGGGCTTGGAGAGAATGCGAGAAAAAGAGAAGTTGAAGTCACGACCCTGCCCTGCAAAGAAGCTGACCGGTGAAAATGAAGAAGATGACCTGGACCGAAGAAGGAGCTGCCTGGAGAGCTGACCGGAGCTGAACCAGCAAAGATGGAAGCTGATCAGAGGGCTTAAATAGAAGGATGAACAGTGGTCGTCGATTATGAAGCTTCTCGAGCAAGGTTCTCCTTTCCCATTTTTTTCCTTTCTCCACTTCTCAGACCCTATAAAAAGGGCTTTCACCATGTAAATAGACACGAGTGGTGGGTGACAGGCACCATTCTTAGCTCCGCGAGAGAGTTCTTGAGCGATTAGTTAGGGTTTTTCCGCTTTGCTTTCGATTTCGCGTAGAGATAGGTGTTCATTGTTGTCATTGATTAGATTTCTAGTGACTACTGGATTGTGCAGAGGAGTTCCACGGAGTGACAGATCGTGGATCGTTTCTTGGTGTTCTCTGGTATCGTGTTCTTATAATTTTGTTTCAATTATAATAAAATTTAGTTCTTTTCAATTTCCTTGTTTTGTCTTTCATTTT